AAGACCACTTGAAATGTAGTGCGGAATATAGAGATTTAGGTGTTCATGAGCTGTGAATAGTTATTGGTCCCGCCGCAGCTCGCAGTATCCACTAGGGTTAAGCGCCATGGGCCACGAGATACGTGGAAGAGCCCAGCCGGTATGTTCGATCGCCCGGGTGTAGGGCAGTCAGAACTCAGACGTCTGGTAGCTGTGGCAGACGGATCGAAGGTTCGAGGAGCGGCGGAGCTCGAGCTCAGGTCGCAGCTGCCTCTGCGCGTCCTGTGGATGTACCTTTGTCGCGCGCCGGAGATGACTCGACGCCGCTGAGATCGGAGATCAAGCTCTGACAGGTCGCACGTCGCTCCTTTGACGCCGACGTGACTCACCCGTGCAGATCACATCAGGACACGGTCTCGACGCGCTCGGTACGACGCCTGCGACCCGTCTCGGGTCAGGTGGCACGACGCTCATATCGCCTGCCAGCGCTGCCGTGCAGGTTGCCACGACGAGGTCGAGAACGCTTCTAAACGCTCGCCGAGCCTTCCTTTCCATCCCATTAGGCAGCCTGGGAACGGTGGCGATCAGAGGCAAAGCCTACGAGGGGTGGTGGAACCACATGTCACGGCTACTGCCGGCTCGACCCCACGATAGCCTCCGGAGGCTGACTTTGAGGCACAATCATCGGACGATGTCGATGAGTTGGGTCGCTCTCGCGGTAGCCAGATGACCTCTCATACTAGGAGCATCGGCCATGGCCGCAGGGAGCGCGGGGGAGGGCGCTGGAAGCAACACGGAGCTCCGTTGGAGACGTTTTCAAGATTAGCGTGTCAGAGTGAAATGGCACTAGCCTGGGGCGGCTGAGTTCCCAAGCACGTCTCGGGCAAGGGCCGCTGGGTCGCCGGCGAGGAGCCGAAGGAGCTGAACCTAGACATCAGACGGGGTGATGTGCGAGGTGGTGTATGCGGTCTCTCTTTCCGCGCTACGTGTTCAACTTGACCACGGCGCGCTGTTCACAGCGCGCGCGGGGGACGGCAGTTCTGCGAGTCCCGCTCCGCAGGACTTTTGTAAAGCATGCTTGTGGCAAGTTACAGACGCTAAAAAAATAAAGAAGAGCATAGAGCAGGAAACCTGTCCCGTTTCTCCCACCCCTCGTTACACAAAACTCTCTCTCTCTCCTATATTTCAAATCACCTTCCGCGCGCGCTCACTCCTCCGCCTTTGGGCAGTTTGGGTTTGGCTGCACGTCCACGAGCACCTCGTTCCGCTTCATAAACGGCAGCGCGAAGGGCGGGTTGTAGCCGGCGGCCTGCCACCGCGGCTGGCCGTCAGCGCCGCGCTCGACCGCCCAGCAGCCGTCCTTTGCGAGGTCGTCCAGCAGGATATCCAGGTTTTTCTTCGCCGCCTCAGGCCTGAAGTTCCACGAAAAGGTGCGCACAGCCTGCACTCGCTCCGGGAGCTGCCGCAGCGTCACGCGCGGGTCGAGCGGCTTGGGTGCGTCGGCGATGCTGCTGTACTTGGACGCCGGCAACACAAAGGCCATGGTGTGCGTCGCCTGTCCTTCGGCGCCAGGGCTGACGAGCACCGGCGCCGTCATTGCGATGGGCTCGGGCGTAACGAGCACGGGCGCCGTCATCGCGATCTTCTCCTTATCGTTCTGCGGCTTTCCAAACACGCCGATGTAACGCGCGAGCGCGCCAAACGGGCTGCCGTCGTCGCCACCGCCCCAGCCACCGGCGCCGTAGCTGCACTCTGCGACGACACTCCTGGCGTAGCGCCGGACCTCATAGGTCGACGCGCGGGCAAGCACCGTGTGCGCGGGCATCTCCTCGCTGATCCTGCCGAGCACCATCCCCATGGCTTGCTTGCCGAAAGTTCGCGAAAGGCGAAAAAAATTGAAGTGGACTTTTTGGGCGATGATTTTCTTAAAAAACAAAAAAGCGCCACGCCGATGTCGGTGCCTGCCGCTCTCGCCGCGCCGCTGCTGTCCACCTTCGCCGCGCCGCTGCCGGCCGCTCTCGTCGCCGCGCCGCTGCCGTGGCGCTCGCTCCTTCAGCGCCGTCCCAGGCCTCTGACGCTGCTCGACGGCGGCAGCGGCGACGCCTTTTTTGGCGAGGCTGCAGTGCGTGCGACGCTCGACGATTTCAAGGCCGCCGCGCCCTCGATGTTCGGCGGCCATCCAGACACCGTCGCGATCGGCATCACCGGCGACATCGCGCTCGCCGAGGTGGACGGCCCGGTGGTCGTGCTCTCGCTCTCGGGACGCTTCTGGCACAAGCGGGAGACGGTGCTCGCCAACGCCGGCGCGTTTCTGAGGCAGCGCTGGCCCGAGATTTGCGACGTGATCGTCGGCGACCCGGGCAGCCTGCGCGACGTCGTGCGCGACGACGAGACGGGCGACGTGCTCGAGGATCGGCGGGCGCCCGACTGGAACGGCGACCGCGCCGCGCTCGAGTACCAGGGCATCGACCCGGACCGAAGAGGGCCGTTCCCGGAGCGGACGGGCGGGTTCCGGGCGGGTGGCTCGATGTTCTCGTAGGGGCGAGTGGACAGAGAGTGGTCGGAGCCAGAGGAGAGAGCGGACGCCGCGACAGGGCCGCAGCGAGCGCTCCGTCCAAATCCAATCGGCGGCTCCAAGGAGTAAATAAAAACGGAGATATTAGACACGACCTGTCACCTCTACTGTGAGATGGGTAAAAAGGAACAGGTCCTCGCCCGTGCGATCTTTGTGCAGGGTTCTTTGTGGGTGTGGTCGGCGACTAGCCGAGGTCGTCCTCCCGATGGGGGACCTGCGCTGGTCACAGTGCACCGTCTCACGGTGCCACACCACAGTTTTGGTCTAGCACTAGTACCACTAGCCGTCTTCCACATGGTAGATGGTCCCCCTCGGGACGGGTCCCTGCTGCTCGTCCTAATCTCTCTTTATTTCCCACATCCTCCTGCTGATCTCCGCAACGTCCTGCTCCCTCCCCCGTCTCGCCCTGCGCGTCTGCTCCGCCTCACCGTCGTCTGTCCTGCGTCGTCTCTGGCGACTGGCGACTGGTCCTCCATATAGTCGGTTGAGGTCGCCGCCCTCCTCGTGCCTCTTCCCAGCGTTCCCTCGGCGGCCGATGCCATCTGCTCTGGCTCCCCCGTCCCCGGGTCACAGAGCCCTGCTCTCGTCTGCGCTAGTCTCTGCTTCGTCTCTCATCACTGGCCTCTCTCCTCTCTTCTGCTTTCTCCCCTTCTTGTATGGCGGGCTCCAAGGAGTAGCGAGAGACTCGTAATCAGTTATTTAAGACATCGCATAATTGGCTCTCCAAGTGCCTTTTATTGCGCACACAAAATCTCGCTGCAGCACCAACCAGTTCGAGGAGAGGCAGGGTAAAGCGTAAAGGAGCGGTACATACGGACACAAACACACGCGTGTGGAACTCGCGTACGGAGCTCGCCAGCTCGGTCCTCCAGGAGGCTTTCTTGTTAAAGCTGTGGAGTGTGGTAGCTGCCCACGGGCCGCGCCGATCGAGAGACCGCACAGATCGCACAGAACGAGAGACTGGTTGAGTCCGTGTGCGCCATCCGCACGGTTGGGACGTGAGACCGACTGCACCCTCCAGTGGAAGTAAGGGACTTTCTTCGAGACGCTGGTTTGCCCGCCCTTCATACCTGCATGCCTCGCTCGCCTTTGCTCTGCGCCGCGTCGCCGCCGGCGCCAAAGCTGGCAGAGTGGCGCCGCATCGTCGCCGCTTCCGACATCATTGGCTGCGCCGCGTGCCTCTGCCGAAGAGACATCGTGAGGCACAAGCCCGCCGTCGCAACCGTGAGCGCCAGGACGCTGATGACGAGTCCGGCGGTCGCAACGGAGGTAGCATCGTGATCGTGCTCGCCGTGGTCGTGGTCGGCCACCTCCTCGTGCGCGTGGTCGGCCACCTCCTCGTGCGCGTGGTCGTGGGCGTGGTCGGCCACCTCCTCGTGCGCGTGGTCGGCCACCTCCTCGTGCGCGTGGTCGTGGGCGTGGTCGGCCACCTCCTCGTGCGCGTGGTCGGCCACCTCCTCGTGCGCGTGGTCGTGGTCGTGGTCCGTCTCCGGGTCGGCCGCCTCCCCGTGCATCGCGTTGTAAAGCACGGCTGCCTCTGGCTGGACCTCGACCCCGGTGCTCGTCGAGGTCAGGCGCGCGCTAAACTCCATCGGCAGGTGCTCTGTGTAGATCGCCAGATTGCCGGCGATCGCCGTCCGTACCGTCCACGACGTGGCCGGCAGCGACTGGTTGAACCGCAACTCGAAGCAGGTGTCGGCGGCCCCGATCTCGCCGCCGCCATCGAGCAAGGTGCACTGCGAGAGCTGGAGCAGAGCCTCGGCCGCCGGCCGCAAATCGTCGAGCGCGTCCGACGCCGGCCCACCGCGCAGCACCACGACCCGCATGCTCTCGTCGGGCGCGCCATAGATGCCGGCGGCATTCTTGCTGAATGTCCACGTGTAGTCGCCGGCGAGCAGGCGGTAGACGCCGCCCCACTCCCACGGGCCGTCCCCGTGGCTGTGCCCCGGGCCAGCCGACACGGCGACGACGGCGAGGGCGAGCAGCAAGCAATGCATGTATGTGTGCTGTGGCTGGGTGTGTGTGCCAAGGCGCGATACACGTGCACCAAGATGAGGCTTCGATGCCGACCGCCGCCGGGAGAGTAAAGTTGGGTAAGTGCCCGCCGTGAATGTCGTTTCGGGCGGCGTTTTTCTTTTTTGTGGGAGGTCTGGCGAGAGAGACGCGCTCTCAGCGGTCCGCGCCGCGCGAGCCCCGCAGAGGTGCGGGCGAGAGGGCGGCCCGAGCCCGAAAGGGCCCGCCCTCGGCGTTGCTCTACATGGTAACGGATAAGAAGAGAAACACCCCCGGACTGGGACGCCGGCAGTCGAGTCGGGACACGCTGTGGTTCAGACGTCCCCCCCCTCGACGCAGTCGAGTGACTGACATGAATAGGGAGGAGAAAGTGTCCCCCAAATATCACCACAGACGCAGCACAGGGGCTCCAATCCTAGGCCGGTCGGACCCGATTTTATTAAATTTTCAAGTTTAAGCGCAGACCTCAAGACTTGAACGCAAGCATGTTCAGGCCATCTAGAGTGCCGAACAACATCGCACCGGTTCGGTTCGCGCATCACGGCCGCGCAAACTGGCTGCACTGCGGCGCGAGGCTCAGCGGGGCGTCCGGACCACTGACTCGGGCGATGTGGTGGTCGAGCGCAGCCTTCTTGAGCTGGAGAGCCGCCGCAGTATGCGCGGTGGATGGGACGTCGGCCAAACCGCGACGCGCAAGCTGCAGGGAGGAGCTACAGCGGCTCCTCTCCTCATGCTGGTTCGCCAAACCGAGACGTTGAGGTCCTCGTACACTCATGTCGCGCCTCGAGTAAGAGCCATCACGCTGCCCAGCGCTGGACCGTCGTAAGGTCCGGCCTTAGGCCAGCTCGCAGCACTGTATGAACTCACGCTGGCGAGCACCATCCCAGGATGAGGCCTTCAAGAGCGCGCGCCAGGGACGTCCGTATGGCAAAATCGGCGTGAATTCGCTATGAAAACGCTTCCAACCCATCAAGAGCGGGCTCAGAAGAGACGATACTAACCCAGGATCACCAGGGCACCTTAGGGTATCGAAATTTTCCACCCCCCCACCCCCTCCCGCTCCCCCGGCCCGCGCCTCTCCCCCTAACTAACACACGCACCACCGCTGACACCCTCACCAGGCCTCTCCCCCCGCCTCGCCGCTCTCGCGGTGCAAGCCGACTCCTGGCGACCGTCCTGATCAGCGGCCCTTGCCAGGACGGTCCGAGCGCCGCGCTCGCTCCGGTGAGCGAGCACTACAGTAGCACACCGCACCTGCACCGCCTGTAGTGGCACCGGCACCAGCCTCCCCAGCCCCGCCTCTCCAACGTCTCACTCGCCACCCTGCTCGCTGCCGCCCCGCCCGTCGCCACTGCCACTAATCTGCCGCTCCGCAGCCCGCTCCACCTTCCCGCCCGCAGCGCCTCCCGTGCCGACGCAGCCTAGAGACAACAGAGCTGGGTCAATATCACCGCGGGAACGCCTCCTCTCGACGTGGGACAGAGCCTCCTCCACAACGTCGAGAGAGCGACGGCCAGCGTGGCGCGGCGCAACGTCGCGCGGCAGTGGCCGCAGTGGCTCGAGGCGGGCAGCGCCGGCGACAACGAACGCGGAGCGCGCGGCGACAGCGGTGGCGAGAGCCGAGGGACGTGACTACACCCTCGAGCGCCGAGCGCGCGCAACCTCGTCAGCCAACCACGCGCCGCACCAGCGCCGCGAGCGACG